GGGGAAGATGAAGATCACTCCTTGGGATCAAAGTAAGTCCTGTCCATGGTTTAATGGCCCATCATGATCATGATTTTAATAGAATTGCTTCAAATATTGGAGAATAGTGCCCAGTATGGCGAAATCCCCCTTGTCTCCAGTTTCAATGGCAAGGCGATGGTTTTTGTGAAGGACTCGCAACAGTGGATCAACCAATTCTGCAAGATTCAAGGGGATGGGAGGAGAACAGTGGGGAAAAGGCCACATGTTGAGGAAGAGGGAGAAGAAGATATTCATGATCTTCAAGTTCCATCGTCCCGCCCATCTTCCCCGCCTTTGAAAAAGAGAAAGGTCAGCTTTGTCACTCTTCCCAAGGCCAGTTTCTACAACAACCATCGCGGCGCTCCGAAATCCTACAAGGTCGATCCTCGTTTCGTTAACTCCACATCCAGCTCTTCAACCTTGAAACCAACTGCTCAAGTCACTAAGGATACTGAAGCATTTTTCCACACCATTAAGGGTTCTTCCACCTCCTCATCTGCAAAGCGTGCTTGATGATGTATGTTTGACTTTACAATCATTTTATTATTGCTTATATTGAATGTCTACCAGCAACTTAGCATTATCCCCATTTAACTAACTTGGCATTGTCTTCGTCTCTCCTTACCAGCTTTCCCTTTGCTTTACAATCATTTTATATCTTGGTCTAACTAACTTGGCATTATTTGGTTCTCCCCTTACCAGCTGTCCCCTTACTTTACAACAGTTTTATCTTGCTTACCCTCCAATGTTTACAAGTTCAAAGATCTTTGACTGGATAAGAAATCTTCTTGTACTGACAAGAAATGTTTGGGAAATATTTCTTATTGTATTTGGAAATGTTTACAAGTTCAAAGATCTTTGACTGGATAAGAAATCTTCTTGTACTGTCAAGAAATGTTTGGGAAATATTTCTTATCATATTCGGAAATGTTTACAAGTTCAAAGATCTTTGACTGGATAAGAAATCTTCTTGTGGTGTTGCACAATCCTTGGTAAGTGTGATGACCAGTGACATGCCGTGACATAGTGTCACAGGGCCAATTTCTTGAGACATGGACTTTGTACCTTCCACAACACCAATCCAATATATTTTTTGCAGTGGGTTTGAGGGAATGATGTGATTGAATCCACTGAGAGAGTTTTCCATGTAGAAATTGTATTTATTGCTCCAAAAATGCGAAATCAGCTTGTTTTCCCTGCCAAATTTGGCACTCTGGAGAGATTGGACTATAACTTTCCAACCACAACACGTATGAACATGGTTTGTAGGAGGATATTACTTAGAATTTGAATTCCAATCGATCTACGGATCCAGAATTTTTATTTGTGGCCCCTATGTCGAGATCACCCCTAAGAATGAGCACTTTAACATAGTTATGGGGTAGTAATTAAAATTATGGACCCGTAGGATTGAAGCCACATACTAATCGGTTATTTAGTCTCTGCAAATCTAAGCCAAAATCCTATCCATTGTAACGCTGATAGCTCGAGTAGGCAACATTGGGCTAATAGGTGCTGTATA